ACACACACACACACACACACACACACACACACACACACACACACACACACACACACACACACACAAACACACACACACACACACACACACACACACACACACACACACACACACACACACACACACACACACACACACACACACACACACACACACACATATATCACACACCACACGCATCACACACCACACGCATCACACATACACACATCACACTCACACACATCACACTCACACACATCACGCACACACACATCACGCACACACACATCACGCACACACACACATCACGCACACACACATCACGCACACACACATCACGCACACACACACACACACACACACACACACACACACACACACACACACACACACACACACACACACACACACACACACACACACACCACACACACACACACACACACACCACACCACACACACATCACACACACATCACACACACATCACGCACGCACACATCACGCACGCACGCACACACACACACACACACACACACACACACACACACACACACACACACACACACACACACACACACACACACACACACACACACACATATATATATATATAATTCTGTGTATATATATGTATTTCCGTGTGTGTGTGTGCACACTCGCATGTGTGTATATGCTCAAATATACAAATGTGCGAGTGTGTAAAATCCATACCATAAAGATGCTGGCGCGCAGACAATTTGGGATTGTGTGCAAAGGAGAGCCTGCGCCAAAAGGGAGAAGCAAAGAGACCAGTCTCTCCCACACTCTGCTCAAGGCGTCGAGAGATCTCTGAGCCCACAATCACCAACGACCCATCCCTGATAATCGTCCAAGTTTCACCTTCCATAACGCTGCCGCCCCCGAGTGCCACTCGGGAGATCCTCGCCAGAGGTGGTGCGACTTTGTGGCACCGTCGATTCCCTGCACTCTAGGCACTGAGTGCCATTCCGCTGCTGCCTTTTATATTAATAGTCTCTAGGGTAGCAAATCTTAGATTTGAGGATGAGACATAGTTTTCCCCATTTTCGCTTTTTTATTCTAAAATAGTATCCGGTGCATGTGCTTTCCGTTTTCTACGCAAATAATCTGAGTGACCCCTCTTAAAAATTAACACGTATAACAAATATTCCTAGATCACTAATTGTCTTCCCTATTAACCAAACCATCTCGTCTGTTTTGCTCATCACAACCTTCATCTCTTTATTAGAATTTGAGATACCAACATGAAATTTATGTTCAAAGTCACAAGTTATTATAAAATGAAAGAATATTAGATTTTTCTTTCTCAGCGTCACATTTTAAAGATTATTGCATAGAAAACGGGTGGAAGTTAGGCTGCTCTGACAATGGCCAGAGAGCGCGGGCTAAAGGTGTTATTCCATTTTGTAATTCTTTTCCTTTTTCCACAGGGACGGCGTGGAGCACTGCCAGCCGTGGAGCGCGAACACAACACAACAAATAGACTTAGCCTTTAATATATTTTTTATGGTCTACTTTTTTATACGTGTAAGTATACTTAGTTTCCCACCATGGGAATTCATGTAGGTGTCTATTTTTCTTTTACTCCATGACACATAAGCAGTCTCTCGAGGAATAAATTCTAGATGTATAACTGATGAATATTCAGAAGTTATTGAATTGCATTTCCCTTGTCGGCTTTATTATTACTGGCGACTATGTTCTTGAAATTCATTCCCAACAAGTTTAATGAAATAATTTACGATGGAAACTAAACCCAAGTTTATTGTCTTACTCACATTCCGTACATTTTCCACATGGGAAAATTATCATTCCCATGAGAATCCACCACACACGTCACTATCTCAAAGGTTATTAGACTATGGTATAAATTATCATGATTCTGAATTTCATGCTCTTTAGGGATGTAAATTAGTGATGATAATTGAATTCCCGTTTAGTCACGTTCTATAAGAAAGATAGCTTTTAGAAAAAGATGAGTACACATATAAATAGGCCACGCTAAGTTTATTTCAATAAGGTTTAGGTGGATTATATGAGAGGCTGTGAAATGTAGATATTATTAAACCATCGTATTCAATTTAGAAGGTAAAATCAAGGAACGCTAAGAATCACTCATTATTAATTGCACGCTTATTACGGGGTACATAGCGTAAAATTGCAGCAATTACATGGTGTTCTTACATATAAATAAAAAATGGGGATTCTTTACGATCAGAATTAGCAAATACTAGCGATACTTTGTCCCTGTCATTGTGATAGTAATTGCTTTATCTCGCTCAATGAAAACTTTTAAGTATTTTGCCATTGAAGATAAAGTTTGATTTGAATAGTTTAGTCTCAAGTTTTAATGGAAACAGGAGGGAGGTGATTAAAGATTACAAATTATGGAAAAGGTACTCTCATGAGTGTGACTGTTAATTAATGTTATTAAAAGAGCGGCATAGGTAATTTAGATGTAGAAAAAATCCTATGGCATTTAATTAGAACAGACGACGTCTGTGAAATAGTTGGAATTCATATTGTGTGACTTTTACTGGTCTTCCAAATTAGAGTCGGCTCAGACAATAGGGGGAAATTGAAACGTCTTCCTAGTTTATAGTTTATATCTGTAATCTCTGTCTCTCATATCACGCACGTTCACATTCTCTCTCATTATGATATACGTCCGATCGCACTCGCCGCCCTAACAACGCCTTCTTATGAATGGCTACTACGTCATAACTATTCGCTTTGCCAGCTCTCCGTTCATGTCCTCCCATCCTTTCTTGATTTTCACGATCGCTCCCTGCTAATGGCGTTATCATCGCCCCGCCACTCTGAATACCGTGGCAAATCGTGGCGTTCTTGCGGACCATCGTTATCTCTGCCTTCGTATGGCCGATCGTCCAATTCAACGTTGTTCCGTCGTGACATGTTGCAGCGTTATTATAGTCGGGGGAAGTTAGCCTGGCACGGGGCGGTCGTCATAACACGCGTGCTGCCTCGCCTTCATTTATCGGTCTTTTAACGATCGCCATGACGAGAATAGGGCCGTTAAAGTTGTACGTGTGATAAGGATATAGGCCTGCAAGGTGTCACAGACAGCGTGGGTGAGGGCGAGTGTTTCATTCCACCATATGTTTTAAAGGATAGGGGAGGATAAACGTAGGGGAAGAGAAGAGGGAAACGAACGAAGACGGGAGAGAGAAGGAGCGAGGAAGACATGGACGGGGCGAGAATGTGAGGAATAGGAGAGATGTAGAGTGATAAATCAAAGGACTGGCACAGGGAGACAGAGAGAAGGAAGACAGAAAAAGAAACGACAAATTAGGGAGTTGTTTTTGTATGGCCAACGCACAAATGGAAATTTGTAGTTCGTTAGAAATTCTAGCATTGGATCTCTTCAAGCTGAGTCGTGAAAATTTGTGGTATTTACGTTAGTCGTTTCATGAGTTGCCAGTCGCGAGATTCAAAGGATTTCCAATTAATGTCAACTATATTGTCAGAGCTGCCATGTGAACAACGCGAATCAGCATTGCCACTGTGCCTACATTTTTGAGTCGTCCCGATTCATTGTGGTCAGATTAAGTACAATCTCGGGTATTGCCCAACCGAAAGAAAAGATGACAAAAGCTAATCATTCTCAGTCAAATAGTCAAAAGTTGATGTTTTCCTTACTAATTATATAGGCATTGTTTGGTCATTGTGCAAATGATAACATGAATCCATAAAACAAGTATTTAAGGCAGCTACTTTATGTGTAGCGGTAGCAAGGTTCGGTTCACCTGTTTTATTCTTTGACTTTTTTTCTTTTTTTTTCTATTCCTTGTCAGTTCGAAATGTCATTAGAAATGGTACTCTCCATTATTAACGAAGCATTCATAGACAAGCCACATGAAGTATTTGGTCATTATGGACAGTAATTTGTTTACAAAACTTGATGTCTAGCGGTTAAGAGCGGCCTTTTTCTTCCGGATATGTATCTTTAAAGTACCCTAGGGGATAATTTTCTACCTTTTTCGAATTTTCATTGTTATGCTTAAAAGAATGAAGAATCATATAATGACGTTTCATAGTTCCAACTGTCCCTCGACGCCAGTTATGTGAAACAACCCACATGTTTTTTTTACTGGTCATCTGTAGTATGGTTAGATAATGTTACTGCAAATTCTGTGTTATGCATAACAAAACTTGCCGTGATTAATGTGAAAAAATCACGGTACCTTAAATCATGCCATCACGACCTAATTTTTTGCCCATATTGGGGCTTTTTTTTATATAGCTTCATGTCAAAATGTTTAAAGTAAGGTTTCGTAGTCATGTTAAATCTACAAGTACAGTGCATTTCAGCAGCAATAAATGAGGACAAATCATAGGATTCCATGAAATGGCATAAAGTTAAAAACCACAGATGCAAGAAACAGATATGTCTGGCAATGGCTGGTGTGTGAGTTGTATCGAGAGCAGAGAAATTTACTTGAACTTTTTTTTTTGCATTCGATGTTATAAGGTATGCCTTTAAAAAGGAACCACTTTATCCTACAATCTGCCTTTACAGTTCCTAGCCAGTGTTAGAAAAAAAAATGCAAGTATATTAACCATGGATAAAGCAATATAAGCACCATGTGATTACTCTGAGATTTATCAACAGATATTTATAGACAGGGGTAATTCAACATACATGAAAATTTCATGGCCACAGGGAAAACTTATTTATAGAAAAAAGCTGTCCTACCTTTGATTCTTTAATGTTTTCCGGCTACACCCATTACTTAAAAAAGTTGGAAACCTTAAACGGAATTAAATGTCTGCGTAATGAATGTAAAATCAGGTGATAAGGAATGGTGCAGCAAAATATGGGTAATAATTTGGCCCTGTCATCGGAAATGAATAGGAGAAACATTAATCTTGAAGGTGATATTTGAATATGACTGCGACGACTTTAACAAGTGGAAAATACCGTTAGAAGCGAGAACAGTGAGTTTTTATTAATAAAAATATTGATAAAGTTCCCCCATGGTCATCATCGACTATGAGGCTGCCGTCCAGCAAGTTGATAGAAGCATAAAGTGATGCTGCCATGAAAGTTATCAGAAAATGGGCAAGGGGATAGTCATAGCTGGGTCAAATTCAGGTGTCTCTGAAATGCTCTAAAATGTTAGAGAAAGGAAATACTAGAGGCATGAGAAAGACACAATAAAAAAACTTTTTTTTTCACGAGGTGAAGATCATTGGTTGAATGCAACTTATCCTTATATTTCAGATGATCATGATACTAAGTTGTCAATTCTCAATTGATTACCATGGCCAGCCTGTCATCAGTCAC